GTATGCTGTTAAGAAGATTTATCTTCATAATTTTGATGAAAACTTGTGTATTTATTTTTATTTACACTTGAACTTGTGATTATGATAAGAATTTACGTATTCTATCTTACCTCCTTAAAGATGAACCAATAAGATTTTAAGATTACTTATGTCAATATGTTATAAATATGTCGAGGAATTTGATCTGACGGATCAACTTTCTCAAGTTAAATATCCAATCAAACATGTTTTTTATTAAATCATTATTCTTTAAACTATCTCGAAAAATTCCTTTTATTAAAATCAAAAAATCATTACGAGATAATGATGATGAAATCAAATCCAAAATATTATTCAATAATGAAAAAGATTACGATAATCCATGGGAGTCATTAGAGAATGATGATATCCCATGGAATGAAGATAATGATCTTCAAGAAAATGAAGATATTTATCAAGAAAATGAAGATATTCAACAAGAAGATAATACAAAAAATCAAGACATTAAAGAAAATAATATATCAAGATATTTTATTATATTATTTTTAATTTTATTTACTTTACTAAATACGATATATATTTTATTATTATTTATTATAATAGTATCTATATTATATATTTATAATTTATCAATAGAATCTTTTATTGATTTACCATTCAAAACACGTATTAATTCTTTCGAATTACTATTTTCTCAACGAAGCATTAATATGTATTTTCGAAATGGTACATCAGTAGAAGATACTATTGATGAATTAGTTAATGGTACTATAAGCCCTGATGATATCGAAAAGATCAGGGCTTGTTTTGTTAATAATAGATTATATTCTCTTGACAATTGTCGTCTATATTGTTTTCAAGAGGTAATGCGACGTGGTGCTAATTTTAACACCATTCCGATCTTGATAATTAGTATGCATGACTCAAGAAATAATATAGAATGGAAGATGCAAGAGTCAAAATATTATAAATTAGTACAGCATAATAATTGAAAAGATATTATAGTTAGTCCATATTCATGTTCTGGTTATTATGATATCTAATCAATTTATTATTAAATTTAAACATGTATATATAATCATAGTTTTAATATCAAAATATTATACTTATCGATCAAATTCAAGTTTGCCAAACTTTTAATCATGTGACAATTATATCACGATATTATATTAATTGATCAAATTTGAGTTTGCCAAACTTTATTCATGTGATAATTATATCACAATATTATATTAATTGATCAAATTTGAGTTTGCTAAACTTTTATTCATGTGATAAATATAAATTCATGTATACGTCCCAATTTTATATTTACATTTGTAACTAATTAAATAAAACTATTCTTTTAAACAATCGTCTTTCACCTCTCAATTATTTGGCACAAAAAAATATTTTATAAATTAATAAGACCCCATTTCAAATATTGAAACAATTTGAAAATATGCTTGCGTGAATTTAATTTATTGGATATTAAAATAAAATATAAATAGAATATATGTTCAGGTATTTCAGTGTCTTGTGTAAGTTTTTTCAAGCAATAATGCCAGGACACCGACAACCTGGATTGGATTGTGTTTAACGTCGGATTTCAAATGAACAATAATAATCAACAAATATTTTCATTAAATTTGAAACGAATCAAGTTTTATTTTGTTTTTGTGTATTAGAAATATTCTTGATAATACCAGGACACTGACGACCTGGACTGGATTGTACTTAACGTCAGATTTAAAATTTGTATTTCTTTAAGATATCAATAAACATATCGATATGTTCATTGAACATCTCAATTCAAATTTTTACTTCAACTTGTTCTTGAAGTAATATTCGATTTAATGCGTCAAGTTTATTGATATATAATCCCATGATAAAGAAACTGATAAGAAAAAAAACGATTATAAGTATGATCATTATTTAATAAAAAGTAATAATTTTTTTATATCTCATCTGTTCAGTGAGATATTCTTTCTCACAAGGAGAAAGAGTTTGTTGATTTTCTGAATGGGAAAAGAAGCATAATATTACAGAAGAGGACAAAGAAACAAGAGGCCCAAGTCCAGATCTAATGAACAGACTGAACAGAACCAAAAAGAACTACCATTATCTTCAGAGGACTCAAACCTAGAGAACATCAAAGAAATAGAAGAAAAGAAGTATACAGCAATTATTAAAGATTGGGTTTGTCATAGAATGAAGTGGTTTGGTTTTAACTGCAGACAGAACTTAGAATGATCTACAGTAATGACCTATAGGTAATGATTTTATTAATTAAAGGAATTATCCAAATTAGTAAAGGAGTGAAATATTATTCCCTAGGTTGTATTTAAAGAAATATTTTTCGATGACGAGCAAGTAAGTATGTGAAAGTCGCAACAATTTATAAATATTTAGCATATATATAATAAAGACATGCCATGCTGACTTGATTGCAGGTTAAAAAAAAAAATAATAATAATTACTGATATAGTTTAGTGACCTGCAGGTAATGAAGTTAACAGTTGGAAAGATCTTTACCTGAACTGCTAACGGAGTGATAAATCACTCCTGAAGTTGCACTTAGAGTTTTAATAATTCTTAAAATAGAGATAAATAAGTTAGGTAGAGACTTAACTTTAGTAATACATTTTTAATGTAAAATATACATATGTTTAATAAAGCATATATACCTAGCCTGACAGAGGGTTTTAAAAAAAAAAAATAATAATCACTGATATAGTTAAAACTTTATTAAACTTTAGAAAAACTTCTATAACTATATATTCAAGCTATCTATACAATAAAGTTTACAATAGAAGAACTTCTAATGAAATATATAACTTTATAACTAGATTATCTCTTTTAAACAAAAGATGACTAATCTAGAATCCAACTAGTACAAAAATTAAATTTTAAATTTTAAAATAGAGAAAAAAGAAAAAATAAGTGGCTTCCATAAAGAATGCATTATCAGCATTGTCAATCTTTAAATTGACATTATACAAGTAAATCAGATCTGATCAGGATAAAATTTAGCATATATATTATGCGTTAAATGATCTATTTAATGGTTAAATTTTATCACTGATTAATAAAAAAACTTTTTTTTGATATCGTGATTAATTGATGATCACCAGTACATTATTTTTGACATTTTGTAGGCAAAATAAAAAAGCACGTTTTTTTTAAAAATTTCTATATCAACAAATGTCTCAAAAACAATTAACTATTGAACAAAGGGCAAAGGCTATTACTCTACTTGAGGAGGGTATAGTCTATGCCAAGTTGCCATTAAACTTGTCAATAAAGTTCACCATTCTACAATTTTAAGACTTAAAAAAAATATACAAAAACAAATGAACTAAAAAATAAATTTATTCCTGATCATACTCGCAAGCTTGCTCCACATGATGAACATAATATTATTCGAAAAATAATAAAAAATGAGTGTAAAACAGTTGTAGACATACAAAAATCATTAAAAGTCTATAAAAAAATAGATATTAGTACGAATACAATCCATAGAGTACTTAAAAGAAATGGCATATGTGCATATTCAAGACACAAGAAACCTCTATTAAGCAAGATTCACAGAAAAATTCACTTAAATTTTGTAAACAAATATAATAATTAGACCATTGAGGACTGAAGTAAAGTTATTTGATCTGATGAATCTAAGTTTCAAATTTTTGGACCTGAAGGATATAAATATTGTTGGAAAAGATCTAGAGAAGTAATAAAAGATCAATATGTAATACCTACAGTCAAATTTAAAGAAGGTAGCATTAATGTATGGGGATGTATAACTTTTTTTAATACTGGATATTTTGCAGGAATTAAAGGAAACTTAAATAGTCAACTTTATCAGAAAATTCTACAAGATGAATTGATGTATTCATTAAATTACTGTGATTTAGACTTAAAGGACATTATTTTTCAATATGATAATGATCCTAAGCATAGTGCAAAAATTATTCAAAAATGGTTAAAAAGTAAAAAAATTAAGGTTCTTTCTGGACCATCACAATTTCCAGACTTACAATAAATCCAATAGAACACATATGGAATGATGTATAATGAAGAATTAAAGATCAGGAGGTTGAAATAAGGAACAAAGAAACTCTTTGGAAGTATTTATTACAAATTTGAAATGATATATCTAAAAATACATGTGTAGAGTTAATTAAGACAATGCCACAAAGAATCAAGGATGTTATAAAAGCAAAAGAAGGATATATAAGATGGTAGTCTAATTTATATGTATTAAACTTTTTTTAAATGTATTTTATTGAAATAAAAAATAAAAGTTTTTTTTTAAAAAAAAATGACAAAAAGAATACACTAGCAATTTTCAATTAATTTTAATATAAAATAAAAACGGTTATATTAATTAATACTAAAATTTAAGTATTGATTAAATCACTTAATGCATTATATACATGCTTAATTTTACTTTGAACGGACTTGATTTGCCTGTGATATAAATAATTAAAAGTCGATAATGCTAGTGGTGCGTTCTTTTTGGAAGCCGCTGTATATCATTTTTCGAAGATGTTATTTTCGAGATCTGGAAATTTTATACAGTATAAAAGAATTCACATGCCATTGGCATTTTGCATCCTTGCCTAAGTTATTTCGAATTCCGGGAGATCATCCAAGAACTGTTCTAATGATCTTATTGTCCGAGGTTTGACGTTGTTTATTAGCGAGATCTTCTCATTCACATTCTGCTTTATATGGTCGCACCGAACTCAAACGCAATACTTGCCAATTCCTTTAATGTGAAAATTTCCTCTGATGCAAAATTCAATGGATGAAATAGTCAATCACCATCCTCGATATGCAGTAAAATTATGTTACTGGTTTTCATAATCCTTGTTTCTATTTCACTATTATATTTCTCAATAGGTGGATAGTTTCGCGAATTAACAAGTGGGAATATTATCTCTTCAATTAATTCCATCGTTACCCTCTCCAAATACAAGGCCTTCCGATCCTGATCTGCATTGGGAATTTTTCGCTGATTCGGTCAATAAAATTTTGCTGGTTAATTACCTTTAATAATAAAGGTCTCTTAGATAAGCCCACATTCTTCTGAATCTTTTCATTTAAGTCTGATTCGTTCTTATTATTAACTGCAGAGGCACGATCAAAGGAAGCATAAAAGAACATCTCTACACTTTCAATCATGCGTTACGTTTATTATCATCTGATTACCAATGAAGCCATTCTGCTTAGTTTTCTGCAGAGTGAAACATATATCGTATATTTCTTAACGTATCACGACATATATTTAGATCCCTTAAATCTCCAGCAATTTTTCGTGCAATGAATGTAATCGCCACGTGGAGACGTTTTGCGACATGGCGTCCCTATAATTCATCAAATAATGGAAATTAGAGTAAATATGCATGATAATGGTTTTCTGTGAAAATTATACATGAGATAGTCAGCTCCACCGGTGACTGACTTTTTGACTTTTATTATCAATACGTTCGGTGACATTTTTTTTCGGAAAAAATTAAATGAAATTATTATGACCTTAATTTTGAGTACTAACTTCTCACAAATAGGTTGTCATTATGTGTGAATTGATTTTATGAGTAGCCAAAGACTATCAGACTGTTTGATATTTCTGAAAGAAAGATTTGAAATTTTAACCACGGTAATGGGATGACATTAATTATTGGATGAAAACTCGTATGTTACATTTTATAGGTTTATCAACGACGTTAAATTCAAGAATATTGCTTTTATCGATCCCGCTGATGAAAATCCATAACCGACAGATAATTAAAAATTAAGTATTAATATTTGAATGTAGTGTTTTTAAATTCTTTTTTGCAATATTACCCTCAATACTTGCAGCTTTCTATGCCTATGCCTCACTCATATCAATTTCTTGTCCATGACTCAGAGGAAGCAAAGTTTTGAGTCTCCGACCCATTCACTGTGAATCCCGTGATCGATCACTTCTTTATTTTGATTTGCCGTGATCAATACGTACATGATCATTTGCCGTTCCAGCTCTGCTGTATTTACATAACAATCCCTTTATTTAACCAATAATAATCTACAATTTGTGATCAATTTCTATTATATAATCACGAAGAAATAAATCAAGACTATCTACACAACAATATCGCTTCGCTGTACTATTCAAGCCCCGATATTGGATATTCTTAATTCAATCAATGTCGGGCACGCGTCAAATCGGTTGAAAATTAACATTAATATAATACACTATACACTATACGTAATAGGGGGATTAAATAGTCGCTATGAGAGTGCCTTCAGTAATTACTTATCGATTATTCCTCGCCTTTATCGAGGAATCCTTTTTCTGGTATTTCGGGTTGACCTTTTCAGTTGTGAAAGTCCGAATCGATTATTTAGATCTCGTAGAAGATAAAAGAAATAAACAAACCAAAAACAACCCATGTGAATCCTTTTCAATTCCAACCCTATGGTTCAATAAACATATGAGAAACCACGCTAGTAGCGAAAAAACAATGTATGTACAAAATGTTAATATCCCTCATAGCAGAAAAAAATTATATGTAACAGCAGATATTGGACAAATGTAACGACTTGATTCGGACAAGCAATGTAAGCTTTTATTTTAATGTTTTTAGCATAATTATCTTGGTCTACGGTATAGCCTTCATGATTTTTGAGCAGATGAAGGAGTGAAAAAAACTCTCAAAAGGCGCACAAATATGCTGGGGAAGGAATCGCGGAAAGCGAGTCAAAAGACGAACTACCTACGATTTGTACTGTATATACATGGAGTTGAGTATGGTAGAAACTATTTAGCCCAGTATCGACATGAACGTGTAAGACTGCTGAGGGCAGTCCCACAAACAGCGGGGAAAAGACAACCGCCTGCAATTTGCAAAGTCACGGAGTCCTGCGTTCATGAAAGAAAGTAAAGAAATTAGCAGGTAAACAAAACCGTTCCCTGAACTTCAAACCTTAGTTCACGAGTTGATTATGGTTTACGTATACGTACGTAGTATAATCTAAGCTTACTATTATTGGGTGGAATTTAAACAATAATTTTAACTAACAGAATTTTACGATGCACCTCAATCCGAAAGTAAACGTGAGGGTAAAAATTAGTAACTTAAGATGAAGATATCGATTTAAGTGAAATGATAAAGAAAGGTCGAGGGATTGGTAATTTTTTTATTAGTATGGCGCCAAATGTAATCGAAAATTTCAAGAAACTATAACCCTATGAGAAAAAATTATACGCATATATTTAAAGTACAATACAATATATAATTTATTTTTCATGCATTTATAATATTGATTTAATGCTGAGCTTTGATAATTATATTTAGTCTTGAGCTTTCCTCAATTGATAACCTTTCTTCAGAACTTTTAAAAGATGCAAAACAACTCATAAACAGCTTATTAAATATACTCGATTATATCTTTCGGTTGCCTTTTTCCCTTCTGTTTTCTCAACACAATTGTTGTATTAGTTGTACCCTTTTCTGCAGAAAAGAATTAGTTGGTACACTTTTTCAGTGAGGCTAGAAATAATTGTGCGTCATTTGAAGTCAGAGATTATGTTGTTCCCTTCTTTGCAACTTGCGTTGACACTAGCGGAATAATTTCTATTTGATCTTGTGTTCCTGTTTCATTTAGGGTATGTGTGAGGGAAGGTCAATATATTTGTGCTACACTCCATATTCGAGCATCACGCTCCCACGTTTGGTTTATGTTCTTCAAGGCATTTTTGATAATAAATGTGTTCACAGCTTGCCGTGATAAATTATTTAATTCTGTAGGATGCTGAATAAACTCTTGGAACTTAAATTCTATAATTTAGAATTTTAAGGTATTTTCATAAAAGCTCAAATACATATTTCTATCCTTTCTAGAACCTGCCTCTACTGTATTTCGAAGAAACGTGAAGCCTACTTATTGCTAAAAAAAAAAAAAAATCCTATCATCTTCTTTATCATATACCTGCTTACGCATTGAATAACGTGATTGTTATTATGTCCTAATTTGTATAGTAGATATAGGGAAGTCATAGCAGTCAAGAAATGAAAAGGCCTAGTCAGTGATTATTGTCTACTGAAATAATTGATGAAGCTCGCAAGGCTAATATGCGCTTATTAATTGATCTTGTTTTTATAAGTTTCATCGATATTGAAACTGTAATAATAATACGTATTCATCTTTGTCAACTTACTTGCACTTCTTCGCCTACTTTATTTACTATATTTTATACTAGTTGCCACTCTCGTTTTTAAAGTTCGTTGGTATAAATTTTATTATATTTGAATTCATTCTTTCAAATAATGCATAATTTTTTTTAGACTTTTGAGCCATTTTCGTAAGTACTCTCTCCTAATACTAAGTGTATATTGCATTGCCTCATCATAAATATGTGATCTTGCAATTTGATCGCCAACACTGTATCATTTTCTAAATCAATATTTTTGCCTTTTTTTAACATTCTTCTTTATAATAATACCATTGTATTTTTTTTATATTAGTTTTCACCGCATTATTGAATAAATGGGCTATATCAGGTGCGGTACCCAGAATTAAATTGCCCTCATATACCATATTTTCTTAATCATTTAGAAATTTATTTGTCAGATATCGAATTTGTAAAATAGCGAATTACGTATTACTTCTAGTAGAATGCATAACTCACATATTAAACCTTGTTTGCGGTCAAAAGAAACTGTGTACAAATAGCCCATTTTAGTTGATCATCAAAAATTTTCCGGGTCCGGGTTTTCGAAAAATCCGAAACCTTTTTTATATCACTTTTATATCCAAGTAAACATAATATTCAAAATAAAATCTACATGGCCTGAAAGTTTCGCGTGTTTTGATTGATTGACATTCAAGCTATATATTTATATGAAAATTTTTTTAATTTTGTCTTTATTATAATTTGTATCCTATTTTTAAATTTGGTGTTTTAATAAACAATATGCCATTAATTAATTGTATTTTGGTTTACTTTTTATTGATTTTTATAAATTTTATTTAACATATAAAAATCTTTCTGATAAAATATAAGTTTTATAAATAAACAATCGGTTTAAAATTATAATTATTAATAACAATAGTTTCTTACAAATAACTTTATCTAATTATGTAAATTGACTTTATATATTAAGTAAATATCTTAATTACAATGAATTATATCTATAATAAAATTTCTATTATGTTTTAATGAAACCATTATATTGTATTTATGAATTTTGATAAAAACAAAATATCACTTTAAATTTAAGACATTTGTTAAATTTAATACAAATTTTACTATAAATAAAAAAATAAAAATTAGGAATATATTTATTTAGTTCACAAAAGTTAATTTCTTTAAATCAAACCAGTTTTGATCAATTGTTGTATTTTTATTCACAATTTTGGATTTTTAGGTATTGTCAAATTTATTCATCTTTTTTTTATTGTTATGTATTTGTGCTGTTTAAATTGTACCTAATATTGTTATATGGATAATAAAATCTATTCTTGAATTGTTTTATTTGCTTGAACTCTATTATGTATAATTGTGCTTGTTGATCTATATCTAGAATATTTTTTCAATAATTGTTAATAGATTATTTAAAGTTATATTTAATTTTATATATTCTACTACTAGTTATATCCAATTACTAAATATATTATTTTTTGTTTGAATTACAATATCTATATAAGTTTATAAATCTATTTTGCTAAGGAAATTAAAAAAATTGTTATGTTGTTTTGTATTTTCTAATTTTTGTTAATCTTTTCAATTCTAGAATTGAAATATATATTGAAATATTCTAGTATTATTGTGTACTAATTTGTACAATTGTATTAAATAATTTATTTTATTATCACTTATTAAGTCTTTTTTTTTAATTAATAATATAGTTGCAAAATAAATAATAATTCTAAAATACTTTAAAAAAAAAAAAGAATTAAAAAACTATTTATTTTATATTATTTTAATTTTTTTGAAAAAGTTAACGAAGTCATGCGATGTAGGTTATATTTAATAAGTTGCTTTTTCTATATACACGAATTGAATTGTGAGAAAATACATTTCGATAGAGAAAAAACTAATAACTCAATATCTGAACAAACCCTGCGACTTGCTACAGTTCACTGAAAAGTGAATGTTAACATGTCATGACTCCACTAACACTGAAATTTATAGAAAA